AAGTTCTTCAATTTTTGTATTGGTTGATGCTTGGTTGTTGATTTGTATCTGTTGGGTGTTGATTTGAGGAACTTTAGGCGAAGTTGTGACAATAAATTTAGGGTTTTAAGGGCCATGAAGAAATTGATACTTGCTTCAAGTAACCAGTAACTTTTTTTGTCTACTACAGTAATACTCTTTTTTGGAGCAATGTATTCTCCCAATCTTCTAGTAATAAGAATCCGGCTTGGAAATATGTCAAACTGGGAAAACCGAAAGATCGAAATTATGTGATTTGTATGCTTTGTGGAAATACTTATATGAGAGGTATTTTTTAGTAAAAAGAACACTTAACCGGTATTTCTGGGAATGTAAGAGCATGCCCACAAGCTACCAAAGAGATAAAAAGGGAGATTAGATAATACATGGATAGCTTAAAAAAAGAAAAAATGAAAAGAAAAGAATCAATTGATGATATGCAATTATTTGATGATGATGAGGAGGAGGATATATCAAAAGTTATAATGAGGCAAAGGGGTACTCCAATCTCAAAAGAGAGGGTTATAAATATTGGTGATAGTGTTGGATAAAAAAACCACCTCTAAGCGGCCAATGGATGTTTTTTCAGCCCTAACCTTGAAATTGTGGTTCAGGAGAGGAGAAAAAAAACAAAACAAACCACAATTGAAAATCAATACAATAAAGAAGAGAGGAAGTTGGTATGTAAGTACATTACAAAGTGGTTTTATATTGCCGGCATTCCTTTTAATACTATAACCCTCGATAGTTTTGCATGTATGGTCCAAGCATTTGAGCAATTTGGCCCAGGACTTATTCCTCCTTCACTACATGAGATTAGGGAGCCCTTATTAAAAGATGTTGTATTTGATGTTAGCAAAATTTTGATTTCTCAAAGAGAAGGGTGGGAGAAGTATGGGGCCACTATTATGTATGATGAATAGTCCGATGGGAAGTCAAGGTAATTCATTAATTAGTTGGTTAACTGTCCAACAAGTACTTTTTTTGTTAAGTCTGTTGATGCTTCAGACAAGGCACATGATGCTACATACTTATGTGGCTTGATGGATGAGACTGAAGAGTTTGTTTGAGAGAAACATGCGGTACAAATTGTCACTGACAAGGGTGCCAATTATGCTAAAGCTGGGCATTTTTTACTTTGAAGAGGACACATATGTTTTGGACTTCTTGCGCAGCTAATTGTATTAATCTCATGCTTAAGGAAATGGGTACAATATCTTTATTTAGTGGGGTGATTTTAAAAGCTATGTTTGTTGTTAGATTTATTTATAATCACACCATGGTCCTTAGCATGATGAGAACTTTTACAAAGAAAAGAGAATTAGTAAGACCAGGTATCACTAGATTTGCCACATCATTTCTCACTCTTTGAAGCCTATGCAAGCGAAAAAATGCCTTGAGGACCATATTTGCTTCAGAGCAATAGAGTCAAAATAAGTGGTCAAAGCATCGGGGATGGGAGAAAGGTTAAACAAATTATTCTGAATATATCTTTTTGGAATCAAATATTTCTTGCATTGGAGGTGGCTAGCTCTTTAGTTAGAGTGCTTCGACTGGTTGATGGTGATGTGAAACCCGCCATGGGCGATATACATGAGGCAATGACTAAGGCATGAGGAGAGGTAAAAAAGAGTTTAAAGGATGATGAAAATAAATGCAAGGCCATACTTTGAATTATTGATAGGAGATGGGATACCCAACTTCACAGGCTGCTCCATTCAACCGGTTACTTTCTAAATCCATCTCTTCACTACAAGCACCCATCCATTGAGTCTGATCATGTAATAAATGGTGGGTTCTTAGATGTGCTTGAGAGGTTGGATCCTGACAAATATATCCAAGATGAGATTCAGAGTCAATAATTGATTAAATTCAAGTTAACCTTGGGAAACTTTGGGAGAGAGAATACTACTCGAAACAGGGATACTAAAGATCCAGGTAAAGGCCAAAAGTAATTCTAATTTTTGTTTTGTTTACTTTACAATTTTTTACTTGTTTATGACTTTATGTATAGTTCCATTTATACAAATAATAAAATATTTATCTAAAATCTAAGTTATAAAATAGTATACAGCTGCATGGTGACCATTATATGGAAGCGAGACACCAAATCTACAACGTCTCACTATTCAAGTGTTGAGTCTCAAATGTAGCTCATCTGGTTGGGAACACAGTTGGAGTGCATTTGAGAATGTAAGTCCTTAATCTTTATTTCTTGGATTTAAATTTCAATTTTCAATTTTCTAAAATCTAATTTATCTAAGAAGTGTAAAAGTAGAAAGAAGAAAATAACATATGTTACTTTTGCTTGTTTCCTTGTTTTCTGCCACAGCTCCATACCAAAAAAAGAAATAAGTTGGAGCAAAAGAAGTTGAATGATTGGGTTTATGTGCGGTCTAATGAGCGGCTTAGGGAGAGGTATCAAAAGCGCATAGATCTCAACCCTATTCAATTGTATGAAGCTGATGGTGATTGCACGAGTGAATGGATTATAGATCCACAAATAAAGCGTGTGCTTGAGGGTGAGGATCTTACTTGATTTGAGGTCAAGCTAGCCATTGGGGCTAATGAAGAAGAACGGCCTAACACTAGAGCACAAAGGATTAGAGCTGGGACTAGTATAGTGATGATGAAGACTCTCAAGATAACTTCTCTGATTAGGATATGAAAAATTGAAATTTAGAATCTCACTCTCAAGACTTGAGAAATGATGATGATTGTATTCACTGTTCTTGAGCTTGACTTTTGAACTCTTTAACCTTCATAGACTTTTAGTTTGTAGCATTTTGTAACTTTAAGGTTTGTGGTTGTGCTTATGGTTGTTGATTGTTGAATGTTTTATGAAGCTAGTTTCAAGTTTCTAATTTCTATCAGAGGATAGAGGATACCAAATCTCCGACAGCTAATACTTTTGGAGTCAATGAATAAACTAAATACCTACTATCACATATATCACCTCCATATTTTTTTCTATGCATTAACTTATTTTTTAGATTTTTTAGAATTTTTTATATTTATTGACAGCATCACGGCGATGCACCCGCATCCGAACCGCATCGAACCACATCGATGCATCGGCCCCCCAACGCATACGGCCGCATCCTACATTTTAGAACACTGGGTTGAACATCTACACAAACCCCGGCACAGGCACTTTGTTTGTGGACTTTTATGGCACTATCCATTGAAGCCAATTTGCCTTTCGATACTATAATGTAACCCAAAACCTCCAGTGTCCAAAGGTAGTAAAGGAAGTTAGGTATTCTAATCCAAATTGGGGTAGAGTTTATCTTGTGGGCTCTGAGGCCCGGTTGAATGTTGTACTCGCTAAACTCCATCATTCAGCCACCAACAAACCAAGGTCCTCTGCTCATGACTCTTCTCATGTCCTTCACAAGATCAATCTGAACAATTCATGGCAGCTTGATTTTGAGATGATGTCATATTCTTTATAATAATTCTAATATCTTTTATTAAGAAAGACCGTTAATTCCTTGTTCCATCAGTGCCACGTGCTTGCCTATCTTGTTTCTCTGGGTAGGTTAACCATGATCTCCCAATTAGTTGTTTTGCCTTTGGACGGCTCTTTTTTGGAAAAAGCCTAGTCAGTTCGAACTCACTTCACCAATACATATATTACATGCTCTCTCATATGGCAATGTATTTAAACAGGGAAACTCTGGCACAGAAGGAATAACATTCATTTTTCTCCTGGCAAAAACTCCCCTTTGTCCTCATCATATATATTTGTATGTGTCTGTGTTGGGCTCTGATAAGGAGAAAGGTATCCATTTTTCCCTTGGCAGGTATCCATTTTTCCCTTGGCATATGCATGCATTGTGTGCAAGCACTGTGTATGGTCTCTGTTTATGTGCATCCTAGTGTACAGTATCCATTAATATATACACACACCAGACACAAAAGATACCTTGGCACACATACAAACGTGAATACCTCGAAGTTAGGCATGCCGTACTACGGATACACAGTATGTATGCTACAAAATATATGTTGCATAACGTGCCAATATATTAGGATACACATGCTACTCTAGCAGTCAAGACATGCTGCGTATACATATAATACTAAAACAGATGAGTTATTAGCACACAGTATTTTTAATGCTAAGCAATTGGCACAACAAATTTGAGTCTAAGCAAGGACAATATGTATACATTTACCAATATATAAATTCCATATCGATGGAAGGAAGTTGAATGGAGCAAAGAGAACTTAAAAGGAGAACATTCAAGCCTTAATTTCCCCAAAAAAAAAATGCAGCACAGAAAGGTAACTGACATTGGCACGCCATTCATCAATTTCATAAGCATGTTGATGTACTGATAAGATTCATACAAGAAAAATGGGCAAATAGTTTCTGAAGAAATAAACCATAAACCAAATGGAAAGTAAAAAAGAAGGGGCCCTGTGAAGGGATAGATCGTGCATTATCAGATACCTGAGGAAACCAACACTCGTGATTCCTCAAGGGATATCCAGATTAAATTTCTGCAATGTATTGGGATGTCAACATCCTCCACATGTAACCAACTCTTTTAATGCATACTTTATTTCCTATTGAAGAAGAATGAGTCAGTGGACTACACAGTAAACTCCAAACCGTCATAAATGATTCTTAAGGTGCCAGTAAAACTGGCAGACAACACAATATTAAGTATTGAGCACCATTATGACTGCATGCTTCCAAAGTAGGGTGGTAACTTCACCATCTGTTGGAAAACATGGCAGTGCCCAAATCCCACAAGAGAGTTTTGATTGAGATATACATTTGCACAAGATTGTCGTAAGATATTCAGTATCATAAAAAACTACATCATCAAATTTATGAGCATTCAAAATTTTAGATTGATATTTACATATTACGCATTAGTTACTAACTGTGAAATAGAAAAGTACAGTAACCTTAACCTTACATATTTCTAATCTGGTAGGTCATTTAATGTCTTGATCTTAATACATACCAGATCAAGGCGGAAATCTCTCTTCAGCCCGACATACTTTGCATATTTCTGTTATTGCATTAACAAAACCCGTGAATAAAGACACCCATTTCATCAAAAGCAAAAATATCATCATAAGATCTAAGCAAGAATCGACATAGACATAGCGGTTGACTCCATTAAGAGAAGTTTAATACAGTCCAAAAAAATTAATTTGCATAAAACACAAAATGTAACTAAAAAGAGGATAAAACAACTAACAGGAAATGGCATGGCTCAAATGCAGATTACCATTATTTATTTATATTTGTGAGAGAACAGATTACCATTATATTCTAAGAAAATGATTAGAAAAAAGGTGGAAAATAGTAAATATGCGAAGCCGAGAAAGAAGAAGAGCATAAGGTTGACTCCATGCACTAGGAACTCAGTCAAGAAAAGAAGAATCATCTTTTTGCCTCCTTCCGTGTCTTCATGTTAAACAATTCTTAGTTTATAATCAAACCCTTCCTTATAGATATCAATAGAAAATAGAGCCTGAAATTTGCAACAGGAACTACCACATCCAGATTTCTATTTGAACATTGAGTTATCCAAGAGCCGTACTATGCTGAAGCAGAACGTAAAGTGATTAAAAACTAACCTCATAGAGAAAATGTAAATAACTAAGTGAAGGTCCAGAATGAAATGATACAACATAAAATTGACGCACATACTCATTGAAAACAAGATGTATCTGATAACATTGTGAAAGTCAATCTATAGTTCTTGGTTTCACGTTGTATAGTTTCATGGTTTAGAAACTCAACAATCCAATCCAAGATTTCCCTGAGTCCACTCAACTGTCCAAGTTTTCAACTCTGCAAATCACACTTGAGAAGCCCATGCACGGCTTTTCACTCATACAGTCCAGTCGTTGTTCATAACTAAGTTTTTGGGACACAAGTAAGAATGATACAAGACTCAATGAATCTCAGCCTTGTTTCAACCATTCTCTGGTTTGGGATGCGAGGAATTGGGGTAACTGCTCAGGAGCTAACTTTCTGCCCCACTCTTACCAAAAAGCATTTACTAGGATCCTATCAGCATTAAAACAACAACATAATGAGTCTCAACAAAGGATATGACCCTAGTTACCAAGCAAGCCAACCTAAAGAGGTTTTCATTCTAATATATGTAAATACAGTAAATATGAAAATATATTTTATTTTTTCTCTTATGTCTGTCTTTAAGGAATCTTTTTAAAATTTCAGACAATGCATAAACAAAATACAATCTACTAAAGAAATTTCCGTAAAGTAAAAGAAATTCATTAACAAATACAAAGACATATTTGACCTGTAGAATGATCTTAAATTACAAAGTTTTGAGATACTGAAACGAATGAAGTGTCAAACACCAGCATTACTGGTCAATGAAGGGTAGAGAAAGTGTTACCTTACCTTCAGCACTCCCCAAAACCTCCAAGAAGTAATTTCACAATGCAAGAATCCTTTGGGGGTTAAAAGTTGGAAAATATGTCCAGCATTTGCAGTTTATCTCATAACATCCATTTCAACAATTTATATTGGAGAAACCAAAGAGCATTTGTCATCATCATTCCCGGAATACCCAGAAGGCAACACACAAGAGGGTTACGACCAATGAGTTCCTTTCCCCAAGTATTTTGATTTTTGAGTACTGAAGGATTTTTTCCTTACATTTTAGATGGGAAGAGATCAAGAAGCTTTTCTTCAAAACTCCACACTTCGAGATTGTAAAGTCCTATTGAGAATGGAAATGACCATACAATGCCAATGATCCGTCTCTTCTGACTTTTCTGAGTTGCTCTTATTCAACATTATTAGATTTTAGCTGAGGTATCAATTTTAAGTTCAATATCCCCATGTGAATTTTTTAAAAGAATTAAATTAACAAGAAGTTACTAATAATTTATTGTTTCTATCATAAACTGGTTAGGGCATAAACTAGTTAGCAATTGGAACAGACTGGGTTACATCTCCTATTTTGGTCTTTTAAGGACATGGAGGCAACAAAGACATAAAAAATCGCAACCGCCACTTTCATAATTTATAAGGTTTCCTTGGTTATCCCGGTAGCATAAGTTACTTTCAACACAATGGAGTTTGGAATATAGGAGAAATATTCGAGATTCAGAAATGGATGAAATAACTATCTACTAAGATGCATCCAGAAGATTTAAGTGAAATGCAGTAACAGAGGACATAAGGTGGTCTAGCAGCCAGAGGCTTCAAAATATCCCGTTGTAAATGTATACTATAAGTTTTGTCGAGGTTCATAATGTACCTTTCCACCGTGTGGTAGTGGAGGAAGTCATACCATGGGTCTCAACATTCATATTACAAGCTTGAAAGCATAAACCATTACTATAACATGGGATTATAATTCCTAACTGACACTAGTCTATTACGCACAGATGAAGAAGAGTGTTGGATTTTGTGGCCTTAAGGCCCTAGCTTTTGTAATACCGCTTTGGGCACTCATGTGATTAGTGTAAAGAAAAGTAGACATCCCAGTTTTGGGGGCATGAAGTGGTCCATGCAGGACCAAGGTTCCCTCTGGGTAAAAAAGGCCATAGGAGCAGCATGGCAAGAGTGCCAGTGAACTCACGCCAAGCTTGGAGGTGTAGGTGTAGGGCTGATTGAATCAAAAAACCCATGACACTGGTTCCAGAGGGCAAGAGGCCCCATACATGGTAACTGTCAACGTTTAACAGCCATCCCTTCTTATGGTCAGAGTTAGCTCAATGGTTAAGAGTTTAGCCAGGGGAAAACAACGTAGAAGTGAGTTCCACAGAGACTTATTACAGCATAAAAGACATCATCAGCATGAAACTAAAATGAAATAGTGAATGCACTACATTAGTTCCCTCAGAAAAAAGGCACTACATTAGCAACAGAAACAAAATTAGCATTCCCAGATAAAAATAATTGTGAACAAAAGCAAAAAATGGAGCAGAGCTTTTGTTCAATCCCTTACCTCATTGACAGGGGCCTCATTTTCCCGAATAACTGCATTATGGGCATCTATCTCTAGCCCAAACTCTGTTTTTAATAGATCACCCGAGTTCCCAACAACTGCACATGTCCTAAACTGACGGGGATAGAAAGGTGGCCTTGATGGCAAAATAAGATTTAGATGTTCCTCACAAAGAGATTTATTGTCACACTTTTTTGCTCCCGTGGCAACAAAAATCCAAGGGGCTTACTTACCATTTCCAGACATAAGTTACAGTAGCAACAAAATTGATGGGAGAAAAGAATTTGCTCAGCATCTTACAATTGTGAAATCCTTTGTGCAGCATACTCTAGCCACCCATTAGGCCGAGCATCTAGATATTCCCTTGTTAAAATTGTAGTCATGTTACGGTACTGCAATCATTTACCAAGTAAGTTCACCCAAGAAATCTAGAAAACATGTTCTGAGACAGTTTTAAGAAAGTAAAACTATACCTGTTCCCAAAGTAAAATGGTTTCGCAAACATCAAATGGGTATTCCAGAGGGTCATAATTTTTAAATTGCACATTGTACTGCAACAAATACAACATAATGAAGATTCAGACCGGCATAAACCACGGACTGAATTCTCAGGAAGGAAACCTTGAGCAATAACGAAGATGTCTCACCCACGTATTGTTGGTGTCTTTTGGGAACTTAAGCACTAATTTACAGTGGTCAATAATGTGTGCAGTGAGTCCAAGGCCCTTTGTTGCCTGTATCGAATTAATGCTCAGATGTCAGTGAAGCAGTATTCAATTCCTTGGAACCTTGCAGCTTTTACGTCTGGTGGTTCTTCTGGCTGCCAGGTTCAAGGTCATATAAAGCAAGAAGGAGAGAAGCATGCACATGCAAGCGCACATGTTCACATACTGTCTGAACAGGCCAATTTGACCAATTCTTGGCAAACAATAAAAAACAACAAAATAGCATCAAATCCTTACAAGCTTCCAAAATTGTTGAAAGCATCCCCCAATTTGCTGATTTAGCCAATAATCAGTTAGGCATGAAGTGATAAAACCAATATCATGTTAAATGAAGTATCCTTCAAAAATGTGTCACATCCTTGTTCACCAGATGAAAAGAAGCCACTAGCAGCACAAATCTGAACTCGAAATCAATTGAAACCATTCAATTTACATCCCTTATAACAACTTTAACAATAGTCCATGCACCAATTACAATGATTCTACTGGTTATTTGATGCGGTCCATGCACCACATACAATATTTAAGTGAAAACCACTGCATTCTATGTCAAACAACTCCCCGAGATCGAATGAGGTATCCAGATCCAATCAAACCCCGATTCCCGGGATATTAACGACAAGCACACTTCAAATGTTTTGAAAACCTACACTATTATCCAAATCCATACCATGAAAATGTGCATATTACAATCTCAAAACAAAGAATCCAATAACCTCATGCCAGCACAAGGTGATTTCTGTCTAATTCACAAACCTTAGCCATAGATGACATTGAACTTGAACAAAAGCATATCATACTAAACTCATTCTATCCTAATTATTTACTCAATTCCGAATTTGATTACTCAGAATAGATGCTGCAAATCCATAAATAAATATTTCAGCAAATTCTAGTCGAGGGCTATTCACACAAATATATGAGAGTAGGCCAAATTTAAACGAAGATTCAAGATACTATTACTATGCAATACTAACAAAGTACTTGAAAGCATTAAGAAATACTAGAACCATGGAGAAACTCGAACACTAAAAGTAGAACGACTAACCACACATTGCTGGATTTGTTCTGGAAAGCGTAAAGATCAGATATATCCTTGCTGTTGACACCATTTTTCCCAGCCCCTGTATGAGAATTTTAAGTTTTATATGCAAAAAAAAGCAAGATAGAGAGAGAAAATAAGCCAAAAGATATGGAGAAAGAAAATCATTACCGCTGAAGAATGTGGATTGGATAGCGAGGATGAGGATTGACGAAATGAGAGCCAGAAAGAGTAAGAGAAGCACAGTCGGAGGCCTGTTGAGGGCTTTTTGAGGTTTCATTCTCACTCTGGTTTGAAGAGATGCATTACTTGTCTAATGGATCCAAATGCAAAAAGAACAGAGTCAAAAGACGCCATGAATTTACAGCTGAGAACTCCGATGGCCGTGATTCAGTACAGAGTAGCAGCATTTGCAGGATTTTGCTCGAGAGATCGTTTTTAGCTTTTCAATGCATTTCACCAAGTTACAATAGTGGAAATTTCCCTTCTTCTCAACATAAAACTCTGATTACTCATTAATTAGTATTAACTTTCTAGGTACCCGAAATAGAAACTATTCGATGGAGAATACAAAAGAGCGTCTCATGTTCCTGAATTTTTATTTTTCTTTATTAGGCACAAGGGTATTTATGGTAGGGATCTATCTTTTCTTCATTAATAAAATAGGTTTTGAAATTGTTCTATTTTACAAATTGGTTTTTTTTTTTACAAAATCTTTTTTTTTTACAATCACTTTGGTCAATCAAAGTTTGAATTGGGTTACTGCCAGAGTATCATTAATTAGATTCAAAGTTTACGAAAAAAAAAACAAACTTTTGTGACACGTCTTATTTGAAAACGGTCTAAATAACGACAATATCATGAAGACAATAAACCCACTCTTATGTTTCCGCATCAAAGTGAAATTATAGTGCTTAACTCCTTTTTTCTTCATGCCTATGTTCCCAAAGTGTATTTTTGGTGTCTTGGAGAGGAAGACGCTGCTTGGGTTGACATATAGTGCGACTTGTCTGACATATTGGGTCATATAGAATTCCCCCATTCACTCCCCCGATCAAGATATCCTCTCTTTCGCCCAAGACAGATTGATTGAACCATCAATAATTCAGAGCGTGAAGTGTAATTAATCCTTTTATTTTGGGGATAGATATTATCAATTAGAATAATTTATGGTTTGCTTGGACCAATAAAATAGAGTAGCCTATCCAGGCTCCGTTCAGAAAATATCAAATTGGTATTGGTAATAGTAATATATGTATGATTACTACTTAATATCATAATCATAAATTATTACTATCCATATCAATCAGTGATCCCAAACTCACAACTTATCGAGTAATAGCATAAATACATCGAATATTTGGTAGAAGACATGAAGCAAATTGAAAAAAAAAAGTTTAATCTAATACTAATAAAATCTAATACTTACTAATAAAAGATGTGGTAATAGGATCGTTTGTCCTATATGTAGAAATAGAATTCAGGCATATCTTTACCGAGAGTAGAGCATAAACCTAAAAGACAAGAATTGAAGAGGTCCATTTAGGAACAAGAAAATTACACCGTGATTTTGATCTCGATAAAAGAACACATCAATAAGAGAGTGATTTAATAAGTCCAGTGAATTTTTATTTTTTTTTTCCCCTTTTAAGGAGGTGAACCGAAACTCATGTTTCTTGAAAAAGGAAGAAAAAGCCCCTTCGGGAGGAAAACTCTGCTACGAAAAAAGGAATAGGTCCATAATCGGCACATTGATTCCTTTTTTTCTTTTTTTTTTCGTAATTTTTTGAACCGTATACATCGAAAGGTACGTGTACGATTCCTAAGGGATACAATTTGATCCTAATTAACCGATTTCATCGAGAAAGATTACTTTTTTTAGGCCAAGAGGTTGAAGGTGAGATATCGAATCAAATTGTTGGTCTCATGGAATATCTCAGTATAGAGGATGATACCAGGGATCTCTATTTGTTTATAAACTCTCCCAGTGGATGAGTGATACCAGGAATGGCTATTTATGACACTATGCAATTTGTACTGCCAGACGTGCATACGATATGCATGGGTTTAGCGATTTCAATGGGATCTTTTGTCTTGGTCAGAGGAGAAATTACCAAACGTCTAGCATTCCCTCATGCTTGGCACCAATGATTTTTTATTTATATTATTTATATTTAGTAAAAAAAAAAAGACTATGCCTTCGCCATATGAAATGTGAAAAATAAATAAAAATCAATCATAAATGCATATAAAATTATAAAAGAAATAGAAATAAAATCTAATATAAAATGTAGAATATTAATATTAAAGAAGATAAAGAAGAAAGAAGTAATAATAGCATGGCACTTCTAATTTGATATGAACAAACCCTCATTGTTTTTTTTATAACATGATTATGTATCCAAATAGTAGTATGAAAAAAAGTTATTCCCGATTTGATCTTATGTATTGGGGGTACATTTCAACGTCACAAACCTTTTTGCTCCTACACAAGAAGTCTCTTTTGTATTTTTATGAAAGAAAAGAGGGAGAAAATGAAAGAAAAATTATCATTTTTATCTTTTTTTTATTTGATCGGATCAGAAAGAAACTTTGGGATTGCTTAATGAAAACTTCAAAAGCAACCGAACCATCATAGTATTTTTTTCTCCTCCGAAGAAAAAGATGGTAAATGAGTCATCTAAAGGTCTGGGTCTACTAGATTCTATTTGTCTCTTTTTCCGGATAGAATAGTCGATTCCATTGCATAGCCGTATGCAACCCACAAAAGATGCATGTACGGTTGTTCAATTCTATCTTTTGTTGTTATTCTTTTTCTTTATTCATTCCCTTCTGTCCGATTATGCGAATATAGAAAAACTGCTCATAATGTCATATTAATCATTATGGTTATGATCCACCAACCTGCTAGTTCTTTTTATGAGGCACCAACAGGAGAATTTATCTTGGAAGCGGGGGAGCTATTGAAACTTAGCGAAACCATCACAAACTTTTATGTACAAAGAACAGGCCCTTTATGGGTTGTATCCGAAGACATGGAAAGGGATGTTTTTATGTTAGCAACAGAAACTCAAGCTCATGGCATTGTTGATCTTATAGCAGTCGAAAATACCTGGGATTTCCAGTAAATCCGTGATTCATTTTGAAACATAATTCGAATGACCCGTGATATTTTATCTTATTACCAAGTTACAGGGGGGAAAATAAAATAATTCTAATAGGATTAAAAGCTCTTATTATTATATTTTATAGTAGAAAGTGATTCCTGGTCATCTGGTTAGGATCAATCTAAACCAGTTTATTTTGTTTATGATTCAGCATGCCAACTATTAAACAACTTATTAGAAACACAAGGCAGCCAATAAAAAATGTTACGAAAGCTCCCACTCTTCGAGGATGCCCTCAGTGGAGAGGAACATGTACTAGGGTGTATGTGTGACTCGTTCAGATCATGAGCTAGAACAAACTAGATGATTTTTCCAATAGCAATGAATAAAATGGAAGAATTCCATTCACTATCTAAAAAGATATATCATATACCCTTATTGCTTATGGAATTTATGGTTTTCATTGGTGCAAATCCAATCATCTCGATGTGAGATGAAAATCAATTCCTCATCGGTAGCAAACGGGTATCCATTAAGCAGGGGAAATGGTATTCAAAAAAGAAGAAAGATTATGCTCTTAATTGTTGCAAAAGCGGACTAACAGCTGCCTAGCGAACCTTCATAATTAAATGCCAACATTGTATAGGTAGATTTTATTGTGGAAAGACCTATTACTTGATAGTTGATGGGTTGCACCAAACGGTATGAGTTGTATGAGTTATCAATAACATTGATTAAATGAGGGGGGCTCCGATATATAGAAAGGGCCTCACCGTTTAAGAAGTAATCATAGAAATGAAGGAACCCACTATATTATTTTACTTAATTTATCCTTATTTACTGTTCGATTTGAAATGACTGAATAAAAAATTGTGGTCGGGAAAGTCATAGTAGCAAAAGCCATTGGAATTTTTATTTTATACATCGGAAGAATCTGTTGTGTTATTAATCAGAACGAAGGGAAAGAATGACTGAAAGAAAGAAATCAATTAGTTATTCATCTAAATTTAAAGTGAAATTCAATCAAATTAAATGACCAGAGTTAGACCCGGATATATAGCTCGCAGACGTCGAACAAAAATTTGTTTATTTGCATTGACCTTTCGAGGGGCCCATTCAAGACTTACTCGAACTACTACTTAACAGAAAATGAGGGCTTTGGTTTCCATTTATCGGGATAGAGGTACGCAAAAGAGAGAATTTCGTCGCTTGTGGATCGCTCGGATAAATGCAGCAACTCACAAAAATGGGGTATCCAATAGTCGATTTATAAACGATCTGTACAAGAGCCAATTGCTTCTTAATCGTAAAATACTTGCACAAATAGTTAGATACAATCTAAATTCCCTTTACATGATTTCCAATGAAATTATAAAATACAAAAGGGATTAAGAGGAATCCATCCGCAGGAATTGGAATGGAATGATTCCAACAGAATCTCTTGAAGATTCCCTCCGAGAAGGTTAGAGTAGAAATTAACATGATAAAATCAAGAAAAAAATAGAAATAAAAAGAAATTTAATTCAAATTAAATTAATAAAAAATCAAAGTAATAGGTAGTAGGAGTGAACGACTATGTTTCAATATCAATAAAGAAAGAAGAAATCTTTCTTTCCCTATTTTTCTTCCAACGTAACAATCGAATCCGAATCAACCGCTGTTTTTTCGAATGGAACATCCATTTGAATTCTGATTTGAGTTCCAATCCAATAGGTCTATGTATTTATGATTCTAGTACCAGTAATTCTAGGGAGGTATTCGGTTCTCTCAAATTGTTTCTCATTATTAAGAAAAGGTAACGGAGATAAAATACGAGTTGGTTTTATAGCACTAGTAATTAATCATTGTTGTTTTAAGGTCAATCTATTCACTCGTCTGGATAATATTTTTCCTTGTTCGCTAATAAATCGACCAATTAAACTCATGTTTCTATAATCAATTCTCCCGTTCCACTTGGGGGCAAACGTTTACGAAAAGATTGCTTGGATTTACGAAAAGGTTGCTTGGATTTATCCATGGTTTATTCCTTATCTCCGAAATCACATTTTATTTCTTCCTGTTTCTTGGAATGTTGGCACACATTTTATCTATTTCTTTATCTCCTAGTGAATCATATGCTTCGAACAATAAGGACATAATTTCTTCAATTCCAATCGACTAGGTGTATTGCTTCGATTCTTTTCAGTAATATATTCGGAAATGCCCGGTGATTCCTTCTTAGCATTAACACCATTTTGAGTACAACTGGTACATTCCAAAATAACTCTTACTGTAGCATCTTTACCTTTGGCTATGAACCTCCTTTGTATTTTGGGTTCACTCAACTTTTCTATTTTCAATTCGAAGAAAAAGAAAAAAATAGGAGTTGTTAGCTGTAAATCCAATTATGAAAGATTTGATTTTGTTGCAATGGAAAAGTAATAAGTAATACAA